CTTCCTTCACCTGTTTGTATAAATATGTGTTATATTATATAGCTTAAAAGTATTATAAATGCATTAAAAACAATTGTAACAATGCCAAATCTGGTCGTGTTGAATTAATCTTCATAACATAGCATATAACATGTCTACGAATGCATTCACGAACTAAAATTCATATTTTTCTCAAAGAAGGCTCTACCCAAATTCGAGATAAAATGTTAACGAATTAAAAACTTCAAACCAAATGTCGTGCAACATAAATGTCTTTGACTAAAAGTTGTCTAACGGCCAAAAACATATTATGATGTCAAATGCTTCAAAATATCTTATGGTATCATAATGTTTGAATAACCTATGAAATTAAATTCTTGAATATATATTATGTTGGCCATGAAAAATATGACTTTATATAACCTCTAAAGTAGACCAAGGGAAATCGACTAATAAATACTGAAAAAATAATTCTATATGGTTTTGAAAATTTGATTTGTGAGATTTGAAAAAATAAATCAATTTATAAAAATAAAAAATGATTTAAAAGGAGTGGGGGAAAATCAATTTTATAAGAGATCGCCGTTAAAAAATAATAATAAATAAAAAATAAAATTATAAGAGGTGCAAATTTATGGAAGCATTTTAAGAGGTTGTTTATGTGGGTTAAAAATAGGTAATGTGGCTGTTTCGTGACTGAAATATGGGCTTGGGCTTGAAAAATCAACTAATGTTTTTGATGTATGTTTGAATCTACCTTTCTAACAAATGAAATCTTTTATTGCCGCCTGTTGTTTTTTTTAGAACAATTTGACACCTGTCTTAATGTATTCACAAAATTTTATTTTCCCGTTTAAATTTCCTAGTCCTCGATTGTTACCATTCTTTTGTATTGATTAGGTAATAAATCTTTAACAAATTAGAAAGTTAATAGTAAGAAATCCGACACCTAATCTTTTCTAAATTTGAATCAAATACCCTACGTTCTTCCTCTATAATTGTGTCTTCCGTCTATATTTTCAAATCTATGCTTCATTTTCTACACTCTCCATCGGTTGTTGTTAATCAAAAGGTTGTCATCATGTTTCCTTGAACGAAGTTATGTAAGGTTTCTTGTAACATACACGTTCAGTTATCGTGTTTTATTTAAAAATGAATATTATTAAATAATATATGATTTTGAGTGTTGAGTTCTAACAAGATAGTTTTATGAGAATTGAAGTAAAACTATGTTTAAAATCATTCGGAAAGTATTGAAAGTCTTATGAGATTCCAATCAAAAGTCAATTATCGAAATTAACGAAAATATAAAGTCGGAAATAACTAAAAATAATGTTATTGAAAGTTGTAAATTATCTTGTTAGAAACGTTTAGGCGAAAACCTCATCGAAATCCGAGTTATAACGAAGAAGTTATGACTTATTGAAGATTCGCGACAGAACCGGCACAACGTCGAATGACGTAAAAAGTGAGTTTTCAATAAACTACCCAGAAGCTTTTAAAACGTGTAAAATTACATAAAACAACATCTTGTAAAATATAAATTAGAAACATAATAATGAAAAACTAATTGTCGAAACCGTTCTTTTAAAACTAGGAAATGTTTGATAACTAGGTACTATTAAAGAATCAAAAGTCATACGACAACATAACAAATCTTGTAATAAAATCATCGATGTCGAGCATTTTGTATTAAAGTAGCAATATCATTACGAACGAGCTTCATATTATTAGATCCTTCGTAAACTTTTTCACTACTTGTGTCACTACCACGAACATCATGAAGTTCGTCAATTGGTACACAATCAGGATGTTGTGCAACAAAATAAAAATCATATATTCCTCAAAGCTATGACGAGTGTAGTTATGCAAAGAAAATACGGCCATAATATTGTCAATCTGAGTTTGCACACTAAATTTAGGCATTCCATTGAGTATCTTCCGTCTACTTTTCAAATTTTTGAATGATCTTTCAATACAACTTCGCAATGATGAACGAGAATGATTGAAAGCTTCTCGCATATTAGTTAGAGGCTCAATTTCAAATTAAGATTGATGGTATATTTGTCTTGAAATATGGAACCATATATTCATTTATATCTGGATCACCTTTATCAACCAAATAATGTTTACTTGTTAAAATGGTGAAAAATAAGAAAATGTAACATCGTTTGTATAATAATGCGAAAATAATAAAGATAATTATGATAATTTACCTTCAGGTGGTTTGGAGAAGTACATTGATGACATGTTAATAGCATGAATGAACACATATGTATCATGTGCAGATCCCTCCCATCCAACATAGGCAAAGGTAAAGCACATATCAAAATCACAAGTTGCCATTACATTAAATGTAAGTACCCTTTTTCTACCAATATAACACAATTGTTGAGTTTTAGGTATAGATGTCACTATGTGTGTTGCAACACTTGGGAAAATTGTAAGTTTCATATTCAATCTCTAATCGAAAAAGTTTGCAAAGTGGTCCTTAAGGCTAGTATGCGAGGCGTACAAGTTGTACGCTTAGCGTACTAGCCCGATGCTTGATATCGCCTTCGGACACGTATGTGGGGTGTATGTGTGGAAAAGTGAAACCCTAATTTTAGGGTGTTTCACCCTATTTAAACCTTGTAATAGCCTCACTAGGTCATGTTTAGACAACCTCCATCCCTTCTTGTCCAGAAAATCGAACCCTAAGTGAGATATTGAGAGTTTGAGCCTTAAAGTGTGATTTTTTGTGCATTATAAAGGATAAGAAGAAGTGAACCATTTGGAGTTGTGCTTGGAGCTTGAAGATCTGAGATTTGTTATTCATTTTCTCTCATTTTGAGGTAAAACGCTTCCATCTTGCTAATCCATAATGCTAGATCTATTTTAGTGCCATTTTTTGCTCTTTGAGTCCATGGTTTGATTGTTGAGCCTGTGGCTTCACTCTAAAAGTGATTGTTGGTAGATCTAGGACCTTTTTGGTCCCTTTTTCCTTACAAATGCAAGCTTTAGGGCATTTTTGGTCTCATATATGTGTTAAGTCATTTGTTAAGCTCTTTTGAACTCTAAGAGCCTCATTAAGCCATGCATGCACGTAAAGTTGGCAACTTTACGTGATAAACCACCTTAAGGAAGTCAGGTCTGAGTTTGGGTTAAGGTCTTAATCGATTGAGAGCTAAAAAGTGAAGGTTGGCCAAGATGGTGGAGTACGATGGGCGTACAAGCAAGTATGCCACGCGTACAAGCCTTTAAGCGTGTACGCTAAGCGTACGAGCTAAGTATGCCCTGCGTACTCAGCAGTGGGCTTCGGACTCGTGGGCTCTTCGCTATTGGGCTAAGGTGGACTTTAGTTGTCTTGGGCCATCAGAATTCTAGTAATGGGCTGTTAATATTTTATTGGACTCCTTTGATTGAAGGCCCATGAAAGGGATTTGGGTCCAATTTGGAAAATTGGGCCATATTGGGCTTTGAGTGATTATAATGGAAATTGGGCATTTGGACAATTGGATTGGGCCTTGGCCTTGGGCCAAGTTAGGGAAAGGGTAAAAATGTCTTTTACCCTAGTTGGGACTCTTAGTGTGGGTCGGGATCCAATTATTGGTTGGATGTTATTTTGTGATTGATAGCGTGGGGATTTTAGCGTCCCGGCAGTGTGAGGTATTTTAGGGAACTCACTGTACTTAGCGGGTCGAATGCACCAATGTCGGATCATTTTTACAAGAAGTTCATCATAAGGACTAAACCGGTACGTTTTTGTCAAGCACGTGGACCATTTATTAAAACTTATAACAAAAAATAATGAATATCAATAACAAAAATCCATGTTCAAATGTTATAGTGTTAAACTATTTTAATTGATATTTATTCTTGGCCAAAATATAGAAAAACACAACCATATATTTCTCAGTATTTAGATAAAACCCTTATATTTTTTTATATGAAAAAAAATTCTTACATTTTCAATTGTTTTTCAGATTTATCCAAATATTCATCTTTTTAAGAAGTTATAGATTTATTTTATGACATGACATTTATCTTATTCGTATTTAGGTGACATGGAAAGAAATATGCAATGTCATTTATTTTTTATTGAGCAAATGGTCCTTGAGTAAATGAGTTATTACTTACATTTTACCTTAGCCAAGAGTCAACAACACTTATTTTTGTTTTCATATCAACCTAAAAACGAAAAAAATAAATATAATGTAAAAACAACAGTTATTTCTTAAAAACTCAAATATTTTGCTTAATATGAAAAGTAATTAATAATGTAAGGGTTTTTCTACATATAAACAAAATGTAAGCGTTTTTTAAAATTTTGGTAGAGTTGACTTTATTTTTTATTTTTTTTGCCCTTTATTCTTTAATTTTAGAGTAATGAGTTAATTATCAAAATTTCTTTTTTGTTTTTGCCATCAAATTTACATTAAATTGTACAAAATTAAAATTAAACAAAAGGTTTAATAAATAACTAAATATACGATATAAGTTCAATTATATACTTAACAAATATATTTATTTATGAAAAAAAAAATCAAAATTACCAAGTTGACCTAGTTAAACCGATTTGACCAATTCCAATTTTTGATAGATTTACAGAAAATTGCCGAGGTATATGTCGAATTCCAAAAACTCGGCTGAGCATGGCAATTTTCACAACAATGATAATGATATTAAAACGTTTACATAAAATCTTAAATAATAAATTAAAAGATCATAATCAAATTAAAACATTAAAATGAAACACTAACCCAATCAGAATTTTAGAAGTAGTCAAAGACATGTTGGGCCTGTCAGTCCTGAATCCTTTTATACGGTCCTACTTATTACATAACGAAACCATCGCCCCCACCTCCCAGTAGGCCAGTTGTAATAGTACACGACGATCCAGTCAATATATACAAAAAAGTGATTACAAAGATCCACCATTACTCCACACATTCAAAAAAAGATATCACTTTCATGAATCATGAATTCATTCTCAAATTTAACATTAATTAAACAATTGACATGCATACAAGATGCATTATTAGCCTAATACCACCTCAAACAACACTTAATTAGTCAATGCAAAGGGTAAACTGCATTGCTATTTGATGATGAATTCCCTATATCTTTAAACGGAGATCTCACCAAGTAATTATACCCTTTTCTTCGCCCTTCACTCGTCATTTCATTATCCCTTGTTCGGTTTTCCTTCAATCTTGAAATGAGTATCCTTTTCTCCTTTGCAAGTTGTTTCCCCAATGACAATGGTTGTGAGTCTTTCTTACTTTGTTCAACTTTCTCATGTCTATTACTATCTATAACATCACATTGTCCCTTCATTCGACAACTTAGCCCGATCTTTGCCTCCTTTTCGATTTGTTTACCTAAAGAAACCACCTTCTTTTTGGGCGTTGAGGTAATTTCATCTTTCTTTAACTTTTCAAGCTCACCCTTCACCAAAACAACCTCCGTTTCTAGCTTGTTGGCCTTTGTTTCGTACTTGATTGCCTTCTCTCTCCATTCCTCGACCTAAAACAAAAATAATAATAATAAAATGTTAAGAATTGTTGAGCCATGTCAAGTCTTGATTTTTTTTCTCCATAAGGGAGAAAGAGAGAAAAAACTCTGACATATATAAAGATAGATGAGACTATTCGCTAGCTGATGTGAGACACTAACATGTCACATTGACATGATGTGACATGATACAATATTAGATATGTTGAATACTAGCTTTTCTTTCAACAGAAGCGAGAGTAGAAACTTTACATATATAAAGACAGATGAGACAGTGTCTAGCTGATGTAGGACACGAACAATAACACGCGCAATACACATAAACATGGAGCTTACATCGGATTGGAGGGATTGGATTTGGTTATTCGAAGCGAGAGCTTGACCTTCCCAAAAGTCTTTTGAAGTTTGAAGCTCTTCCATCTCATGTCTCAGTTGTCCAAGCATCTCTTGCATTTGTGTCCATTGTTCGGTCTCGGCTCTCACTTGCTCCACTACTCTCTTCACCAACACCTTACAACGCCCCGAGCATTTGTTGTTAGCCTCCAATGATTCCTATTATAAAATGTACTTTCTTTATTCAATCATCACTTCACATAACCACAAAAAAAAAAAAAAAAAAAAAAAAAAAAAGTAATACCCCAAGCCCAAAACCCAAAGTTACATACTAGCCCAATAAGGATCGTATATGATTCACAAAGTACCTTGGCGTGATTAGCAAATCTATTAGAAAAAGAAAAGTGATCAGGGAAATCGATTCGTTTTGAAGTAGAAGCCGAACTTGCAACCGAACTATTGATGATGGATCCATACTCCTTCTCCATCATCACATCAAACACACCCTTCGATAGCCCCTCCATTTTTCTTTCCAACATTTCAACCTGCAAATCCAAATTCAAAATGGAAACATTCAAACAGATGACCTCCATGGATCAAAATATAAAAAAGTTGTACAATCATTAATATAAACTGAAGGAATGATCTTACATCAGTGGACTTGGGTTGACTTTTGCAGTTCAAAATGGAGGTGTTTACGTTGACTTCAGAATTTGATTGATCATGGAAACTTGATTCGTTCTTCATCTCCTTGTATTCATCCTCTGGTAATCCTCCAAGCTTTTCCAATCTTCGTTGTAAATGTGATGCCTTTTTATCGAAATTTTTACATTTCTGAAGCTCACGATCGTCGCTGCCATTATAGCTACTCTGCAACTCCTCTAATTTCTCTGCTAATTCTTTCATTTCTTCCTCCAACACCAGTTCCATGTTCTTCCCTTCAAAAAGCTTCTTTCTTCCCTGTAAAACAACGGATCAAAATCAAATTCAGAGGCAAAATAAGATCGGTGTATTTAAACAATGTTGCTAATTGGGGAAAAACGACTTACAGAAGCAAGATTTTGTAAAGCAGATTTGAGAGTTTTTTCAATTCGAACACGATTCTTCTCCAATTTCTTTAACGCAAACTTCCTTTCCATTCTCAAGAAATTACACTCTGCTCGCAATATCTCCGCCTGAAACCTCCACTTCTCTTCCGCCAGCCGACCACCAGCATCCTCCTCCTCCACCACCTCCGCTTCCACCCTCTCTCTTCTCTCCGACGAACTCAACAGCACAACCTGATCACGCGTGAACTCTCTATCCGCACCAAACAAACTCTCCAGCTTCCCTTTGTAATTATACGTCTGTATCATCCCAGAACCGGTGGTGGCCGAGATGGGTTGTTTATTGACGGTGGCTCTGGGTTTTTTCCGGTGAGTACTACGCCTTCTAGGTAAGTTAATGATTTTTGGGCTAGGTGGTGGTGGTGTTAGGTGCCATTTGACCCTCCTACTTCTTGTTGACATTCTCGTCTCCCTACTTCTTCAATCACAGAGTTGAATTTTTGCCTTTTTGGGTATAAATAAAGGGTTTTGAAATGAACTGATGAAGGAGAGAGAGAAGTTAGCGTGCAGTGGAACCTCGTAATATGAAAAGAACATGGATTTGAATTAAAAGCAATGGGGAAGGTTAATTTAATTGATTTATATGAAGGCTTTTTGTTGTTTGTTGTTCTTGGAACTTCGAGGCGTAAGTGAAAGAAAGCAGCAACCAAGTTGGTGGCAATGAACAGAAAAACTAAAAAGCAGCAGCGGGACTGCAACGGAGCCTCGTGCTTTAATTGTCAACACATATTTCTTGTTTATTCACACAATAAATGAATTCGTACTCTTTTTTAGTATTTATTTAATTATATATATAAAAAATAAAAATATATATATAAATATTACACACAAACGATGAAATGATGTAGTTGTTTGATTGTATCGCCAACTAGTAGATTTGATTGTGTTCTTCTCACAAAATGATTATTTGGTTAGTTATGATAATCAAAACTACCATTTTACTATTTTAGTGTAATTGATTTGATGAAGTAATGATTTCCTTTATTTACTTTTTAATCGATGCACATTATGTAATAGAAAATAAGTTGATGTCTTTTAAGAAAAAAAAATTCATTCAAATATCATAAATAATTTGTAAATATAAGTATTAATATGTATTTTTTAAAAAAATAAAAATTGGACCGACAAATCTAATACTCCTAAAGTAACACTTAATTTTCTATTTATGTTCATGACGAGACTTGAACCTTCGACCTCAAAGAGGGAGGACAACACCTGATATTGTTGAACTAAAAAATATTCTCGATTATATAGTTAATAACATGGCTAATTTCATATAAGTTTTATGATTTCTTTTTTGAAAAAATTGCAAAAATGTCCATGTGGTATGTATTTTTTTGGGGTTTT